ATATATATATATATATTAAATGGTCTGTACTTATAGCATTTTTCTATGTAATCAAGTCACTCAAAGTGCTTTACACTATAATCTGTGCCCTCATTTACCTATCCATACAGCACTCCACTAGATTTATACAAAGAATAATCAGAGCTTTATCACACTCATCCACCGATGGAACACACATTGGAGGCAATGAAGGGTTCAGTGTCTTGCCCAGAGACACTTCGGCATGCGACTGCTGGTGGAATTGAAACCCCAACTCTTGCACTGGAGGATCTCTGCTCTAACCACTCAGCCACTGCTGCCCCAAATAATATAGATGTTTAACTCCCTCTCATCACACCCTGAAAATCTTTTGACCACAAACAAAGCAATAAAAGAATTCCTGAGCTCGAGTAACTGCTCACAGTAAAAACAAGCGAACATAAATTAAGAAGATTATGGATCTGGTATCTTGGACATTCAACTCTATTGATAAGATTTTTTCAACAAAGTAACAAGGTCCTGGAGAACCTGCATGTCCAGATGAGACACACGCTGTGGGGTACGTCATGGACCCGTGGGGAGTGTGGCAGTTGATGTGTCTCTCAGTTCTGTCTCAGGAGGATGTTGAAGACATTTACATATTTGGACTTATGATAGCAGGGACTCTGCTTTTTGGCATCGGCGGGGCTTTGTTTTATCGACTTTTGAAGAAGACATTGGCAGCAGTTTCGGCCATGGAAAAGCTTCTGAGTCTGTGTGAAGGTTTGGTCCGTGCAGTAGGAACTCTAAATCAACTGGTTTACAAGCTAAACCATATGATGGAGGCGATTTATGAGAATCGCAGGCCACCTGTGGCTTCTGGGACTCGTCAGCGTGGTGGGTTCGACCTTGAGGGAGACTCATAGCATGGATCAGTGGAATGGAATCCCACAATTAGGCATTTTCAGAACCAGAACGCCCAGATGGACTCAAGGCTGAAGAAGAAAGCAATCTGTCTGCCTGAAGAAAATCAACAATCAAAGTTTATCTGAATGTGACTCCTGACGACCTTGGAGACGGGCCGATTATCAAATTTCTCCTGGGTCATGGGTAACCAAGGACAAAAGCTTCATCTATCGCACCCCTGAGAACTTTCTGTGCAGGCTTATCAGAACTGCTGGCTGAAACAACATCTTCAGAAACTGTGGCTGATCTGAAAAAACGCTCATGGACAAATCTCAACACCTTGATGTCAAATGCAAATGTAATCATGTTTTAATTTTGCTGCTGGTAGAGTTTTTTTGATGTCTCAAATCGTGTCCTGATAGACAAGATGTGAAAGATCTTTTTTTGTAATACCACTATCTACCCTCATGTTTCTCCCCCTTTTCCTATCTAAGATTATTATTCTGAAAAAGGATAAGAGGGGCCGCGCTTAGTTACAGTATAGCAGCAGCTTCGTGCACTCCGTCCATCTTCCGGACGACTGCATGTACATGTTCTCGTTGTATCTCGGTACAATGATAATAAAGCTTATTCTGATTCCGATTCTGAAAAATGGGAGAAAATGACGGTGTGAGCACTGAGATAACAAATGGAAATAAAAATAATTATTTTGAGAACTTGATTCAATTAAGAAGATTATGAAGCCACTTTTTAAGTGTAATCAGATTTTTCTTGTTATTTTTGGTGCCAGTATTCTTTTTTTTTCAAGTTTAAACAACCTGTTTATTTGGTTCTGACTTTATAATACTGTAATACTAAAGATTTCCAGACATGACTGTATTTAGGGTTAAGTTTTTCTTCAAACTGTGGGGTACATGTATCAAAAACATCATACTGTGCACTGCACTTTCATACAGCTGTACTGATGGGACATCAAGAAATAAATAAATAAATACAAATTGCAGACAGCAAAGAATTCAGCAAGGTGTTTTTTCCCCCATGTAAGAGCCAGAGCACCAGACAGACGGTGATCTGACTCCTCTCAGGTACAAGCACAGCTGAGTGGGTGGGCTTAATGTATTCTGTGATTTATTAAACCCACACACTGTGACCTGTGGGTCTGCTGTTCAGCTTGTGTTCTGTACGTCTCAGGTACATTAGCACTCACGGTATGCCAATCTCAAACAAGTTGTTCTGGATGAGCTGCTTCCCCAGCATGGTGATGCACAGCTGGATGCACAACTCCATGAGGCAGCCTGCATGAGCACACTGGAGAGAAGACCAAAAAAAAAAAAAACTAATGTTAGAAAGTGGCAGAGAGATGCATTGAAGCAGAGGACCATAAAGCACGGAGGCGGTTTAAAGAGTGGACTGTGAGGACTGGAGGTGCAAGAGGTAAAAACAAAACAGAGAAAATCAGTAATTTATCTGATTGACAAGTACCAAGTTAACCTACTAAATGGTAAATGGTTCACTTTTAAATAAATTGAGACAAACAGGTTCATACCTGGAACAAAACTGTTATATTTACATATATCTTTCTTCTTTATTTTTTAAGTACCTTGGCACAAAGATATGAGCCATCATCACCAGCATGGATTATAATACTAGACCAAGTGTCCCCACCTTCTCTAGTTGTGATTTGTAGCAAACTGGACCAGGTTTATGGAATCTGCCATGTTGTATTTTCAGAACTAACATCTATTGATAAGCAATTGTATGGCTTGTACTGAGACCTCTTCCTGCTTCAACTGGGTTGATTTTTTGGACCAACATTTCTATATAAAGTAGCTCAGTGGTCAGCACCACATCTTCAGTAATCCTGAGGCTGCGGGTTGGAGCTCAGGTTGTGTCAGGAAGGATATTCAGCGAAAATCAATCGCCAAATTATTTGTGCAAAATCTCTCGCGGTGGTGAACTCTGCAGTAGAGTGCAGCCGAAAGAAAAGCAACTTTTCTATATAGACAATGGAAAAAACCAAGCTGCAGAGTGGATGCTCTTTTTATACTCACTCCTGTCACACACCTGCCACCAATAAGTGTGACAGAATTACATGAATACCCCCTGCCCCCTGCCAACATGCATGTTTGCCTCACACCTTTTTATTTGATTCACTATCATATTATGGAATTTGGTTTCAAAGCAAAAATAGAAGTAACAAAATGCACCTGAACAGCAAACAAAATAATACTTAATGTCACTGCATAGTGGAGTCAGAGTCTCTTCATTTGTCATTTGCACCACATGTGGCACATGTAGTGGAACGAAATTGTGTACACAGAGTCCCAGTTACATCCAAGAATAAAATGTAAAATTAAAAACAGTAATAAGATCTAAGATATGAACTAACAAAAATATTAATTAAAAATAAGCTAAGCACTAATAGCATATATATATATATATATATATATATATATATATATAATATATATATTATATAAAATATATATTATATTATATATATAATATTATATATATATACTTTGTATTATTATAATATATTAGTATACATATTTTAATTAAATAATTTATGTAATCAGTCTTAACGTCAGTTAAAGGAAGTTACCTCTTCCATTCTGTATGATCCAATAACATACAAGTAGTTTCCAGGTCTCCCCACAAGCCTGGAAACAAACACACCCAGCAGTCAGAGAAAAGCTGTGGCATACAGTTCAACAGTGACAACTTTAAACAACACAAAGAAACACAACCAATATGTGAGGTGCAGCTATCACTCAGACACGTTGGATTGAGATAAATGAATGACGTCTGACCTGCCCCTGAAAAAGGCCAAGTAGACGATGGGTGTGAAGGCATTGACAAACTTCAAAATGAACGTTTTGAAAATGAGGCGCTCTTCAAAACTCTTGTCCGTCTTTGGAACCTCTGAAAGAGAGAACACGTATAATTATTACCTCACATACAAACTCACTCACTCAGTAGTCGTCCTGTAATGTGTACCTGAGATCACAACAGCAACAAATCTATCAGGTCCAATGTGTCCACTTGTTTTATTTTGGAGGAGAATTTTTTTTTATATGTATATAT